AACCTTTCTGTTTTCTATTACTTAAATATGAAATAATAAGTTTAAGCGCTGTGTTCTTGACACCATAGTACTGTAGCTTCCTGATTAATGTCTCATGGTGAACACAGTCGAAGGCCTTGGAAAGGTCACAAAATATACCCAAAGCATCCTCTGAATTCTCCCATGCACAAAAAATATGTTTAATAAGCTCAACTCCAGCGTCAGCTAAAAGAATAGCAGGAGCATTTCTGGACTTTTAAAGAAGATTAGGCTCTTTCCTATGAAGATCCCTAGTCGTATTGGTCCAGAAAGATCGCTGGTGGTAGCTGAGGAAGTTGTGCGAGGAAGAAAACATCTGGTAAATCACATAGCGGTGAACCGGTAATTATCCAGATGGTGCGGATAGTATCGAAAAGTTGTTGCGATGTGCGATGGTGTAATTTAGCAGCTAGAATTAGTAGTCCAAACATTTTTAGTGGCATATCTTTAATTTCTGAAAAAAAAAACGTATTCAATCTAAATAAACACGAAACATTTTCCTACACTGTTTTTTATTACTGAAAATAAACTATGAAAATTTAAAGTCGAAATAGTATCGACTTTGGCTATGCCTGTCGACACTGAATATCAACAGTTTTAAATATTCTGATTTTTTCATTTGTACGTGCCATTTTATGTTTTGGTTTTCAAGAAGAAATTTTAAGATTAGTTTTAAACTATTTGTTGCTGTCGCGCTGTGACCGAACGACAGAGCTAGTTAACCAAGAGAGACAACTGCACTTCAGACTTATCATACTTACATATGATATATTGCGGAAATTATTCTACCTGTTTACTGTTTGTTATTTTTTTGATAAATGTCTAATAAAAGCTGCATTTCTGGACAGTTTAAGTAATATTTAAAAGGTTTTAAAAAATACTAACTCTTCATAGAGAAGAAAGACTCAGGAGCATGGAATCGGAATTAATCTACTAGTCTAGTTCATTAAAAGATAAAAAAGAAATCAAGTTGGCATAAAAACATTTTTTTGGATATTTTTTTTGAAATGTTATATGCTGCGTAGTAACCAAATAACCGCAAACGCTCTGCCAGACTCGCGGTACGGAGTTCGTCTTTAGTATTATCTAGTGTAAATTCAACATTACCTTCGCGTAACCTTATATATTTTTATCATATTTGTGTTTCATACTTTCCTTGTCGTGCTTTCGTCCGAAAAAAAAAAACTATGTACATTGTAAATAATATCTTTCACTTGTCGTGTATTTATCATGTACATTTATCTCATGTATTTTTGGAGAAAACTGTCACATACAACTAAATTGTGTAACCGTTGCGGCGGTTGACGGCAGACTGCCTCAGCTTGATGTTTGTCTACCTCCCCCGTCCTGCCGCTCACATACCTCAGGCGGTGACTAGCACTTTCGCGCTATATAACTATAGTGTGTAGGTCTTAGGCCCTGTCCGTATTGCGATATTTCACCCCGCGACTTTTATTCCGACGTATTATATTCCGTGATATGGATTACACCTAGTACGCACTGCGAATAAAATTTTGTAAGATTTTTCTCAGTTCGATGCAGTTCGCTGAAACGCACGTCTAAAAGTGAACAACAGAATTTTTTAATTTACCTGATACTACGGCGGCGGCGTGGTAGACGTATCAAAAGATGTCATTAACTTTGGATTCACTAATTTAGAGCCTTGAGTCCTATGAAAGTATTTTTCTACGTAAGACATCAAAGGCTGCGAAAATACAGTAAAAAGTTTTTCGGATACAGAATGACTATAAAATCATTCGAAAATCTAAGACGACTTGTTGGTTGGGCTATCAGTTTTTTTTATTCCGCAGTGCGGACATAGCCATACATATTTAAAAAAAAATATCGGTTGGAAATAAATCGCACCGCTTCGCGTTCAATTTGCATCAAATCACAGGTTTTTTTCCGGGCAATTTTTTTACCGCCAGTGCGGCTACTCCTATAAGATTCTATGTGTTACAGAATTGCGGGGAAAAAAATCGCGCGGTGAAATATCGCAGTGCGGACAGGGCCTTATAGTTTTTTAGTTATGTTTGTTTCGAAAGTATCTCGAATTGTAATCATTTCAAATATATACACGCATATTTGAGATTGATTTAAACTAATTTTACGAATTTGCATTTCATTTAACTTATATCACTGACGTTTAACTCCTGAGGAATTTTAATTAACCTTATTTAGAAATCCGTAAAATTAGTTTTATTCAATAGCACGCAAAGACCCGTGTGAATATATCTATTAGTTATCCTTAGATAAACGTAGGGAGCTAACAGACTTGTTGTTTTTGTATAAAATTCTGAACAATAGAATTTGTTGCCCTCAGTTACTGAACTCATTTGATTTTAGCGCGCCTTCAAGATATCCGCGACATCCGACAGCACCACTAAGACCACCAACCCGCAGAACCTATCTCGGCTCCAGCTCTCCATTACCCAGACTGTGTAAGCTGCTAAATAGCTACAAACACAGAGTTGACATAAACTTTGATTCCGCTTACAGTTTCCGTAAAAAGATTGTCGTCAGTATGACTAGTACTTCATTTCGTGCAACCAGCTTGTGTTCTCTTTTACCGTACGGATAAACAATGTTTTTTTTTTCCTTTTAAAAGTGTTAAATTTATTTAGTAAAATCAAAACCCACTTAAGTTATTGTTATATTGCATGCTGTGTTTACTAGTAAGTACGAGTAGTCACTACACTTAACTTAATAAACTTTTCTGTTATTTAAGATTGTATTGTGTAAGTTGACTGTTAGTTAACCGTACGAATAAAATAAAATAAAATAAATAAATATACACACTATTGTGTTGGTGCATTACTCTTTTCATTTCTGAACTTGGCTGAAACACTGTCCGTATCTAGATATAAAAATCAGTTAAATAATTACCGTCTTCCAAAAATCTGTCCAGCAAATTGAATAGAAAAATCTAAGAAATTTTAAGTGTAAGATAAATAAAATTAGATGAAATCTTATACTAAATTATAGAAAATGATACGCCTGTTTCCAGATTCGAGCTAAGAGTTAATAGCGTCGATAAGAAATTGCCCCGTTTTCATCCCTACACCGCTTCCGACTCCGAATCGATCATGATATTGGCGTGCCGCCAGTCTACCGCGGCGTCCATCACCTCTGTAATTACAGCTAAGTATCGGATACATACAGAATGTTACGTAAGTCCTATATACATGTACCGCAGTGTCGGGCTTCATATTATGAATCTCGATAAAAAATAATATTTTTTTATTATGTAGCATCTATAAAACTATAATAATATAATAGTTTAATGAGTTTAAAGAACACGCAATGATTTGATTTTCCTTGATACGAGTGCAAATCAAGTCAATTCGCTGGCTACAAGTTGGTGAAAATTATATTATGATTTAAAATTAAAAATTTTGTACAGCCGACTTCAGTATACGTTATTAAAAATAATTCAAAAACTATTAGTCTGACCTTGATCAAATTCATATCTCACGAGAAAGAAAAGCTGGTACAGCTTTAAAATAAAAAAAGAGTCATCGAAATCGGTTCACCCAGTAAAAAGTTATGAGGTAACACACATAAAAAACATACAGTCGAATTGAGTACCGTCTCCTTTTTGGAAGTCGGCAGAAAAGATTCCGTTAGATAGATAAATACACACAAAGCTAATTAAAGCGTGTTAAAAATTAATGAAATTAACGGTAAGTGACCTTTTTTTTTATTGAAGAGGGTGCAGTAGCCTTCAGATATATTATTACCATTTATTTTTAAAGTTCTCTATAGCGTTAACAATCGTAGAGTGTGATCATGGATAATCCAAATGAAGTGCGTATTATCTAATAACATAATGATCCGTAAAGATGGATGAACGAAAAATGAACTCATGAATGCCTACATATTATGTCCCCCTGCTAAGAGCCGACAAACGGCCATTACTTATATTTAAAAGGGTATAAGTACAGTACAGCAGCATTAAGCTAATATTTGACGTTGGTATTCTGTGAGAGTGTGGTCCTTCCTCGGTCAAGCCAATCCATTCGTTCTACAACCATAACAGCTGCAGCGTGGTTCTAACACATATAAAATTTCATCACAATGTTTTCTATAAACGCTTAGTAAGCAAAGTCATCGATGGCGACAGGGATCATACCCGGATTTCTCACGTACTGTGATATTTACAGTGAGTGCTTAGTCTTTGTGCTATGACTAAGAACTACGACTCTTAGTGATAAATTTGGTATACTGAGTAAATTAGCACATGCCTTGTAGTGGGGGTGTAAGAGAACCCGATACTCCATGTTATCCCGTGGATATCGTAAGAAGCGACAGAGGGAAAAGAAACAAGATATGGACATTAAACTGTGGTTGTCAACTCGCTTGCTAAGCGTGGTATCTATGGCAATTTTCCTATTAGGTAAACTATGGGGAGACATATGATCAGCAGTGGACTATTGATAAACTGGAATGGATGAATGGAACCCATGAGGACTAAGATGGAATGCATCTTTTCCAGTAAAAAGGGTCTCCGGTTCTCTACAGTGTAGAGAACACTCACCATACGAAACACAGCAGTGTTAAACTGTTATTCTACGCAGGTATTCTGTGAGAGCGTGGTCCTTCCCCGGTCGAGCCGACCCATTCGTGCTACAACTATACTACTAATATAGCTGTAGCATGGCTCTACCACGTAAAATATATGTATGAGCTTTTTACCAATAATAGTTACATTAAAGGTATATTTAATCCCAACGCAAAAGAGAGGGGTGTTATAAGTTTGAGCGCTATGTGTGCCTGTCTGTCTGTCTGTGCGCGTCTGTCTGAGGCACCGTAGCTCTTAAACGGGTGAACCGATTTGGGTGCGGTTTTCTTAATTTAAAAGCAGGTTTTTAGTGGTTGTCTTTTAGACTGTTCACCCGTTTCATGGTCATCAGCTGTTTTGTTAGCTGCGGTAGGGTTCTTTTCGGGGGTATTTAAAATTTTCATTCTAAGTTTTTACTTACAGTTATCCTTTTCAGCTGCCTCTTTCCCTTATGCCAAGTGATGAGCGCAGGCGGTCGACTGCCAGCTGATTCACATGCAACCTCGTATCTTCGCTCGGCAGTCAAAACGCCCCCTTCACCAATTTCCGATGGCTTTCTGATTTCCACGGTGAGAGGTCTCACTGTAAACAAGCTGTCTCATTTAATTTGTTCATAAAAAAAAATTAAATACTTGAGGTTTCAAGCCGACACTCGTGGCTTTCACTTTAAGCAATACTGCTGTTTTGAAAGTTCTATTTAATTGTAAAAAATTGTTGAACTTTATTATAATGTTTTTTTTTTGTTAGGTTTTTACTTTGTTGACAGATATAAGCAGATAGTTTTCAATATTGTGGACTTCAAAAATTATAGTATTTTGTAAAGAAGAACAGTGACAAACGAGCACAAATTCCACCTGATGTTAAGTGGATGCTGTTGTACTTACCTACACTATCCTCTATTGGGGATGAAAATATACTTATTGTTCTTGAGGACTAAGACAGAATGACTTGATATCAGTAAAAAGGGTCTCCGGTTCTCCACACTTACCAAGCGAAACACAGCAACATTTCAAGCTTGTATTCTGTCAGAGCATGGTCCTTCCCCGGTCGAGCCATTCTATACGTCACGTAACCATAATATAGCTACAGCATGGCTCTAGCACGTACAAAAGTCTATCCATATAATAATACTGTTGAGGTGTTCACGCCATAAACAATAACAGTTCATTCGGTTTCTTTATTCAAACTTATCTAATGTATATACAACTTAGTTACAGCAAATGACACGTATATACAGTATGTTTCTTTAACTGTGTTAGATTTTAGTAAAAGTTTAAAAATTACATTTATATAATTCAACTCAAATGTGTAGTAGAAGTTGGTCAAATTTAATAAAAACTTTTTCATACAATTTGTAGCAATCGCACGAGCACGTTCAAATTAGGACAACAAATAAAGCGACTTTCACAATAAGTATTCACTATGATATCTACTCTGTTTTATACTCGTTGATACAGGTAAGGAAAATTTTAAATCACGTCTTGTATCTATTGATAAATTTATATATGTATGACTAACACTGTTTACAACATGGTGAAAAATGGTATCTTTACGTTTTGTGCCATTCCGGTTTTTTTCTTTATAGAACAAGGGTGACAAATCCGCACAGAGTCCAATTGATGGTAAGTGGATGATATGGTTTAAAGACTATATCATAGACTTCACCTATCATTTATTAATAATCGAAATTCTAGAGTAGACTGGAATGCCTCCTTTCCAGTAAAAAAGTTCTCCAGTTCTCTACACTCCTATGCGAAACATAGATGTGCTAAGCAGCTATTTTACGCTTTTGACTTATATCCCCTCCATTGATGTTAATATCGTATCCTTTCCAGTCCAGTAGCTTAAAAACGTCTTCCAATGCAGCGGTTTCGGGGATATAACGTCAACCTGCCTTACACCTCTCTGCAGTTCTATAGGTTTCGTACTCTAGTTCTGTCCTCGGGTAGCCATCATTGCCTTACTGTACACCATTTTAGGACTTCGATATACCGCCAGTCAAATATGCACCGCTGAAAGGACTGCAGCACCGCCCACATTTAGACGGAATCAAAGGATTTCTCATAGTCCAGATACGCAAGACAAAGTGGCAAATTGTACTTTTCAGTCTTCTGTACAATTTTCAGAAAGGTGTTTATGTTATCTATGGTGCTAGAGCTTTTTCGGAAACTGGCTTGTTCGGGAGGCTGGAAGTCGTCGAATTTGCATGCGAGTATTGACTCTCGAAAACAGCACGTAGACGCGGCTCAGAAGAGAAATCGGTCTATTGTTCTTCAAGAGAGCGTTGTCACCTTTCTTGAAGAACAAGACCACCGCTCTTCTGCTCCACGCCAGTGTAGTGCCACCAAGGAAAACGAAATTAAGGAGCTTATGGCTAAGGAACTCAGATGTCTCGGAAACGATGCTGCTACACTTGGTCTTCAGCTTCGACAATTGGCTCTTTATAGCAGACTGATCTCAGGCAAAGACTTTGGAGCCCTGGTTCCACTCATCAACTTCTCCAATACGAGTTGTATTCAAGGTGATTAAGTCCCGCCGAGATCCATCTGTTCAATTGCCTGTATGCTGTCAAATCTGCTAAGAACTAAAACTTCATTACCCGTCTAACAACCATAAGATTAAGAGTGCGATCGGAGAATTTTTGTGTTTTTCTTCGGCGGTTCTTGCAAAATTTAGCTCCGACCGCATGGACACTTTAGAGCACGAGGGGGATATAAGGACTTAATTAGACGTGACCTTTCCATATTAACGTTTAAATCCAGTGTGCCTCTCACCATTTGGTGATCGCTGCCGGTTTTCACCCTCGCGATCACTGAGACATCACTGAACAGTTGACGTCTAGCTATAATAGTGAAGTTAATCTTATTTTTTGTCGAATCGTCGGGGTTTGAACCAGGTCCACTTCCTGTGGGGCCGCGTTTGGAAGAAATGATAAAATGTCTCCCTTTCTGCATGAAGTTAGCCAACTGCTGGCTCCTTGATTTCTGTTGTCCTATAGCGAATTTCCGTACTTTCAGTTCACCGTTCTCGCTTGTGCCTAGTTTTGCGTTGCAGTCTCCCAATAACACCGTATATTAGGTGTTGGAGGAATGCATATTTCTAGATATATCCTTATACATTTCTTCCATTTCCTCATCGGGATGTGCCGAGTTTGGTGCTTAAATCTGTATAACCTTCAGCGAATACCGTTTAGTAATTTTGAGTATAAGGTACATCTCGTGAGGTAAAACTGTCAATCTTTACATCGTTGTTAACGAGAGACTTGTGGAAGATACATCCGACACCCTCTTTTGACAGATGGTCGCCCTCCCGGTGATAGAACAAGTTGCCGGATTTGATGATTACCGTGTCCTCTCCCTATCTTTGGACCTCGGATAATCCTATAATATTCCAGCGCAACTTGTCTATCTTTTCTTCCAGCTCCTGGATCTTCTCGTCAGTCCTCAGGATGCGTGTGTTATATGCTGCCAGGTCGAGTCATCTTAGGTGGCAACCAAACTTCCAACGGAGATTCTTAGCACCCCATGCCCCACCGTTACCATAGTCGTCAGCATCTTTCTGAGCAGCATCTTTCTAAGCAGCATCTTTCTTATTTCAGCAAAACAATAATAAATATAACTGCGTTTAAAAACCGGCTCCTTAAGCGTGGTAACTATGGCAATATTCTCCCCATGAATAAAGTCTCCTGCCCCGGCTGCTCCGCTGTTCCCCACTACGGGGGCAGTTTACATACATGAATTTCCCAAAGACAAACATCCAGACCCGGAACAATTAGTTGTAGGCCATGCAAATAAATACTTGTATACGAAAAATGTAGACGAAATTAATAGTTTTTGAAACAGAAGAAAGTAAAACGATATTTGAAATAAGAATAGAAGGGAAGTTGATGGAGCAAGTGTATAAGTTTGTGTATTTTGGATGTGTATTTAGTAGGGATGGCAGATATGATAAGGATATAGAACGACGAGTGAACGCAGGAAATAGAGTGAATGGGACTCTACACTCTATTGTGGAAAGTTAGCGTGTATATTGATAACATTCTCCCAATCATCACCCACATCATCAATTTTTCTTTTTCTACTGGGGTTTTTTCATCTTTTTGGCGTAAAGCATTTGTCCATCCTCTTCCCAAGTTAGATAATCCCAAATAGATTAACAGAATTAACCATTTTCGACTAATTTCTATACTTCCCTTCTTTCAAAGATTTTAGAATCAGCTGCACACAAAGAGCTATCCAGCTACATATATAAAAATTAACTTCTTAGTCCCTTAAAATCTGGTTTTCGTCCTGGACATAATACAATCTCAGCTATTCTTAAAGTTCTCGAGGATGTACGAGAGTGTATGGAGGAGTCAAAATTAGCAGTTCTCATATTAATTGACTTCTATAATGCTTTCTGTACAGTCGATCATGACATTTTTCTTGCTTTCTGTCATGGGTTTCTCCTCGTAAGTTTTGGATTGGTTATCAACTTATCTTCGTGGTCGCAGCGTAGAGTTAAGGTCAATCAACAGTCTTCCTCTGATTGGTCTGATCTTGCAACTGGCGTGCCACAAGGCGGAATTCTTTCTCCTTTATTAGTTTCTGTTTTTATAAATCTGATAACTGTAAATTTCATATGCTCCTACCATCGGTATGCTGACGATTTACAGCTGTACGCTCGGATTGATTCAGCAGAGGTTAACTCTGCGATCGAAATTTTAAATCTAGATCTTTAGGCCATCTGTGACTGGTGCACAATTTATGGAATTGCTGTCAATCCTGTTAAATGTCAAGCCATAATTCTCGGTAGCCCTCGTCGTCTAGCTAATTTAGATTTCAATCCACTGGAGCCTATTGTTTATAACAGCACAAATATTCCTCTTAGATATGTAGTTAAAGACCTTGGGTTAATGATTGATGCTAATTTAAGTTGGCAATCTCAGGTAGCTGATATAAGCTGGAGAGTGACTATCACCCTGCGTGGCCTTTATCGTTTCATAAATTTTCTTTCAACCGCGACTAAGGCGTTGTTGGTGAAAACACTTGTTTTACCGGTTATTTATTATGCTAATGTGTGTTACCCTGATATGAGTCAAGTACTTCTGTGCAAATTGGATCGTTTGTTAAATAATTGCATCCGTTTTATTTTTGGCCTTCGTAAATACGATCATGTCTCCTTATATCGTTCTAAGCTTAAATGGCTCCCTATCCATCAGTGTAAATGTATCAGAATTCTTTGCATGCACTCCCCAATACCTGAAATTCAAGTTTCAGTGTTTGGGTTTCTCCCACGATCGTTACCTGAGATCATCCGAGGGAACGAATTTATGTATTTTTTCTCATCGCACCAAATTTATGTCTCAGTCTTGCGCCGCTGAGGCCATAAGGCCTTGCAATAAATTACTTCCTCACATTAGGAGAACGACTTCTGTTGCAGCCTTTAAAAGAATGGTGACTTATCATTACCTCTCTTCTTTCAGCAACTGACCTTCTTATTTAAATGTTTCTGCATAAGTGTATAAATTACTTAAATTGTTTTTGTATAGTATGTTTGTATGTAAGTATGCTTAAAATGTATGTATTATGTATTATTTAAAAAATATATATGTTGATGTATCAGGTATAGAGTATATTATTAAGGTTATCTGTAGTTATATATATATATATATATATATATATATATATATATATTATACTTATGTTTCTCTGTTTAGCTTGTAGTTAACTGGTAGAGATTTTTCTGAACCGGTACGACTTAGGGACCTTCAATAAAAGAGCCTACTCTTTTTAAAAGGGCGGTGGTAGTCACTTACCATCAGATGTGCCGCATGCCCGTCTGCCCCTTCTCCTATAAAAAAAATATTTTTTTCCAACTTCTGCTGCAAATCTTTTTTACTTTATAATAAAATAAATTTCAGAGAAAAAAATATTATTAACATCACACCACTGATTTCATAAAGTAAATATTATTTTCATAAAAACCTACGTAAGGTAGTAACACTCAATAACGGTTTCAGATTTACCATACTAACCTAATTAAATGAAACATAATGTATAGTGACAGATATTAATACATTAATACTTACAGAACATATCGAGTACTAATGAAAGCTCTTTCGGGGGCACCAAATGTGAGTTGGCAGCTTGACACGTGAACACGGCTGCGTAGTCGGCGCGTCTAATAGCCGGCCATAGCAGCCGGTTCTCTATTACGTCGCCAGTGTTGTGTTCATACTCCTCATCTACAAGGACACCATTGACTAACCATCGCACCGATGGCTCTGGACGACCTGAGTAAATGAACAAAGTCATGATACTGATAGTTTTTTTTTCTGATCTTAATTAAAAAATAATGTAGTTTGTCTTAAGTGATAGTAGCTTTATGGTAGCCAACGGACTGCGAACTTAAAGGACGCGAGTTCGTATCTACTGTTTAGAATGGCTTATATTAAATTGGAATTGTTTTATCTCTGCTATGAACTTATAAAAATTAAAATAAAATCTGAACATGGTAATATGGGTGATTCCTAGTCACTATTTGTATTATGATCATTCATCATCGTACAGCCCTTCACAAGTCCACTGCTGACCTCCCCCAAGGAATGCCACATAGCATAGTCCTGAGTCACCTGAATTTATCAACTTCCTGCACGTCTCACTAGGTCGTCATTCTGTCTAGTGTGGAGTCGCCCTACACTTCGCCTATCGACACGAGGCTGCCACTCGAGAAACTTTCTTTCCCTGCGGTTGTCGGTTTTTTGAGCTATCTGGCCGATCCGTCGCCACATTAGCTTACTACATAATCATAATCAATACGGATCCGTATGGATTAAGCTTATGTATTATATCAGTATAATCTTTATTGAATGGGAATTCTAACTCTAAAAATTGTGCTTGCAGAAAGAGACTGTTGTTAACACCCGGTCAATTGTCCCAAATTATCACCAAAAACACAAACTTTTATGTACGTGAAAATAGTACCTTCATGTACTATATTCTAAAATTACAAAATAGTTTTACAATCAAAACAACATGAGTGAAAATATTTTAGTAAACTGTCAATTAAACAACACAAATAAGATCAAGTCTAAACAATTTAGAGTTTTAGTTACTACTTATTAGGTATATTTGGCATACAACGTTGCAAATGCCACAGTTCGGTGAAGACTAATTGATATTATGTTACCAATAGCCACTCAAAATCTGCTTTACAGTGGTGTGTGTAAGCGACAAAACAAAATACATACGAAAGGGATAAGCTCATTTTTATACAAATTTCATATCAGATATAGTTATATAAGTAACAAAATCAGTAAAAGAAAATCGGCAGGTAAAATATTACCAAACGACAAAATAAATCCTTTTAGGCAGTAAAAGTACTACTTAACTACTTATTTAAGTCCATATCATTTAGGAAAAAAATACAAATGGAAAATGAGTACATAATTAAGATCTGTTAAAAATTTTTACGTGACGCGAAAAAATAATTTAATCCGGTAAAATTTCTTAACTAACGCTTATATCCTAGATACCGTGAGAGAAAAGTTACTTTTATTTTAACAGCATTAATTTGAGTCAAGGCAAAAATTACTAAGTTTATAAAGTTAAAATCGAATCATCATCATCATCGTCATCATCATTACAGCCTTTCATAAGTCCACTGCGTAACTACCGCCGGCCATGAACAACTGCAGCACCAGTGGAATTGCAGATGCGTTGTCGGCCTTTTAAAAAGGAGTAGGCTCTTTTCTTAAAGGTCGCTAAGTCGTATCGGTCCGGAAAAATCCCTGGTGGTAATCTATTCCACAAGAAATTTGTGCGAGTAAGAAAACTTCTTTTTAATCGCAAATGAGGGACCGCCAAACTTCCAGATGGGATGGATGGTATCACGACTTTTGTCACGATATGCGATAGTGGCTTGAATTGGTCCGAACAATTCCTCAGAGTACTCCCCGTGGAATATGCGATAAAACATGAGACGCAACATCACTTCGCAATGGCAGAGAGTCAAGCTGATCGGAAATAACTCGGTCGTTGACGATTCGAACCACTCTGCGCTGGATGCGGTCAAGTGGAAAGAGCTGGCACTCGGGAGCTCCTGCCCAAAGATGGGAATAGTATCCCATGTGGGGCCGAACCTTCGCTTTGTAAAGTTGCAAGCTGTGTGCTGGCATGAAATATTGTCCTGCTCTACTGAGTACGCCAAGCTTTTAAGAGGCCAATTTGGCCTTCTCTTCCGAGTGACCACGAAATGGCACATCACTCGATACGTCGACAACGAGGATTCCGATACTGGCTGAGGCAACAAGGGGAGTGCCTTGAAATTGAGGAGACACGACAAAGCGCTTTTTTTTAGCGGTACATGCGCAAACTTGTGTCTTATAGGGATTGAACTGGACTAAATTTAGTCGACCCTAGTCCGAAACTTTGACCAAGAAAGTCTCGACTTCAGACATAACTTTTTTCCGGTATTGCACGACATTTTCTCGAGAAATATTGGCATGACCGGTGTACAAAGCATCACCAGTGCTGTCATCCGCATATCATTTAATGTTACCAGTATGCAACATATCATTGATATGCAGAAGAAAATGTGTTGGTGATAGCACGCAGTCTAGTGGAACACCAGCATTAGTAAGCTTGTAATCGGAACATGCACCGTCTACTAGGACCTTGATGCTCCGATCTGCAAGAAAACTGGTGATCCAATTGCGCAATTTCTCGGGAATCCATAGAAAGGAAGCTTCGATTTAAGCGTTTTGTGCCAAACCCGATCGAAAGCTTTGGTAGTTAGTTTGGACAGAGCGAACTGTCCAAACTAACTACCAACGCCTTCTCCTTGGACTCCATTGCCTCCACCCATCTATGAGTTAGGTAACGTAGAAGATCACCAGCCGAGCGACCTTGATGGAAACCGTACTGGCAGTCACTAATCAGCTGGTGATCCTCAAGGTACCGCATGAGCCGGCAGTTAATAACAGTTTCCAATACTTTAGAGAACAAGGAGGTGATAGCGATAAGCCTGTACATGGACGGATCTGAGCGGTCGCCTTTTTTTGGGATCGGGTGCACCAAACCTGTCTTCCAGAGTAGGAGTACCAAAAAAGACGCGTGAAAACCGGTGAAAACTCTGGAGCACACGTCTTCAGCACAATAGGTGGAACTTCATCAGGCCCACTCGACTTGTTTACGTCAAGGGAGAGGAGTGCTTTGCGCATTAAATGCTGTATAAACAGCACACAACGCGGCATGTCGGCGGTGTGTTCCTCCCGTCATCGAGAGTAGAGTTAGATGTAAAGAGAGACCCTAACAGGACGGCTTTCTCCTTTGCGGCATGGGTCAGTGAATGGTCCACTCTATGCAGAGATGGAAGAGATGTCTGACAGAAGTTCCCTTGGACAGCCTTGGCGAGAGACTAGAATGCACGTATTCCCGAAGAAAGGTAAACTACTTTTGAAGGACCTGGAAGCGGAATTGTATTTCTTTTTGAGAGCACTGGTATTTGGATCCCGAGAAGTTGATTCGTCAGCCCAGGCCCGGTAGCACTACTACTTATAGCATCATGCAATTTGACAGGGGTGACCAAACCATGGCTGAATTCTATCTCTGATATGCACCACAGATGAAGGAATAAATAATTCCATTTCCTGAAAGACCACATCAGCGACAGAATCAACAACAATGTTGGGATCATCCGGCAAGAAGCAAGCCCGCCCCCAAGGGTAGGATAAAAAAAACGACCGCATCTCGTTCCAATCGGTCGACTTACGTTGCCAAATACGGCGGCAAGCTGCAGATCGCAACTGCGATGGAAGCATGAGTGGCATCGTACTCCGGATGAAACAGTGGTCTGAACAGCCAGAGGGCATCGGCAGAGACCTGATATCCGTCCGAATGAGAGGTTAGCGGTTACGGATAGCGTGGGGGCAGTTGCCTTTGTCTTATTGCTCCGCTTGCCTTAAGCAGGTTTCGTCTTGAGCGGAATTTTACCACCCCCCCGCCCACTATAATACGCGGGGCAGCCTTAACAAAAGCTCAGAAAAAGTAGGGTAGCTTGGGGGTGGAATCTCAGAGAGGGATTCTCCGTCACCAGGAGTGCTTACCCTCTACCCTCCTGGGGTTAGTGTTTATATTTAACTCTGCTACCATGTTAACGGGAGGGGGGTAGATCGGAGCTCCAGCCACCTTCACTCACCAGGTGAAACGCAGAAGTAAACTTCTACTTCACGCTGATATTCTGTGAGGTCGTGGTACCACCTCGGTTCGAGCCGGCCCATCCGTGCGACAGCAAAAACTGCTGCGTTGCGCTACCACTATCAAACCTTTATGTTTACGAATTATAACATAATAAGAGAGAAATACTGAAAAAAACTTATTATATAAAAATCATTTAATTTCAGTTAGTTGTAGTGGCTGTGGGTCGGTTCAAAGAACCGACAAGCAATGAGGAGGAAAGTTTCTCGAGTGACAACCTAGTACACGTAAGCTTAGTGTAGGGTATCTCCCTCCTTGATGGAATGACTACCTGGTAAAAGTTTCAGGAAGTAAATTGATGCAGGTGGCTTCGCACTTTTGCTTACTTGGACCATGCTTTGTGCTATTCCTTGGAGGAGGACACTATGCAGAATAATTTTATATAAGCGTAGGGATTGAGATAATTCCTTAACAACGTGCTAAATTGTTGCTGAGCTACTGTTACATCGTATCTTACCCCACATAAAAAAATATGATTTATAAAGAACTTACCTCCAAGTACACGACATGTAAGAAGGACGTCGTCTCCTTCCTCATGAGGACCAAGGGTCGTTGTATTGATGACACGCCCCCATCGATCAACCACCACTGGCTTCTCCGGTGGAACTGCAAAGGCATTGAAAATTAATACGATTCTTATGAAACACTTAATGACATGAAAGTGATAGACAAGCAAATTTCCAATTTGATGGAGCAATGAGCTCGTACTGAATAGAACAGACTAAAATTAATAAAGAGAAGCTAAGGGTAGCCCTATGACATGAAGATGTCAGCTATAACTGCTGATACAAAGTATTCTAAATGTCGAAAATTTAAAACAAGTTATACTTTATTTGAAAAAAAATTGCAATTAATAATTTTATTCAACACTCTTGAATAAACATAAAACATAGAAAAGTCAATCGGCTTCAGAACTTTAAGAGCACTCAAGAGATGCACGTTGAGAGGGAACGCTAAGGCCTTAGTGTTGCAGTGAATGTAATAACTTACTTCAATATCCGCAATATGGCAAAGTTAATATTTAAATAACATTTTTCAAATTTCAAATACTGCAAAAAAATTTAAACGCTGTTTCGCGGCGCCCAAGATAGCTGATTTGAGTAAGTTTCGCAAGAATGTCTTTTTTCTGACGGGTACAAATTTGTTGTATGGTTTCTTTAACTCTACATTTTACAGGCGATACATAGGATATTCTGACTTCATCATCATAATTATTACAGGCATTCACAAGTCCACTGCTGAACATAGTCATCACAGGAATGCCACAAAACACGGTCCTGAGCTACCTGCAATGATCGACTTCCTGCATGTCTTACCAGGTCGTCACACCATCTAGTGGGGCGCCTCCCCACACTTTGCTTCTTGGTATGAGGCAGCCGTTCGGGAACATTTCTTCCTCATTGGTTGTTCCACTTTATAGCTGGCCCATTGCCACTTCAGTTTACTAATCCATTGGGCTATGTTAGTTACTCAGGTTCTACTGCGGATATGCTCATTTCTTAGTTTTACACGCAGAGAAATCCCGAGCATAGCCCCCTCTATAGGTAGCTGGGTGACCTTGAGCTTCCTCATACGGCCATCAGTACAGGACCAGATCCATAAGTAATAACTGGCAACACACACTGGTTGTTCAACCTAGTATTCAAGTTTCGAGGTATATCTAGGATATGCTTCTTAAAAATAAGTTGTTTACTTGTATTGGCGACCGATCGCCACCGTTGGTGACAATTGGGCTCGAGAATTTTAAGATTTTGAGATTAATCTTCATCATCCTTCCTTTTTCAAGTCACTCTAAAATACATCTAGTAACAAATTTCTCGAAATATATTATGTCGATACCTTCTACACGAGATTGATATCTCAGGCATGTACACACCTTATTATTGTTATTCACCACCTAACACATGATAAACTATCTTGCGCCATAAAATTTAGTATCAGTGCCTGCACCCTAGCTTTCGGAATTTCTGACTAAGTGTTTTAATAACACTACATTACGGTAGTCGTATATAGTTTATTTAACATAACATCATCCGGGGAAGGACCACGCTCTCACAGAATACCAGCGTGAAATAGCAGCTTAACACTGCTGTGTTTCGTATGGTGAGTGTAGAGAATCTGAGACCCTTTTTGCTGGAAACGAGGCATTCCATCTTAGCCTTCACGGGTATACAACGCATCTGCATTTTGATTCGTAACCGATGATAGATGTAGATATCTATGGGTCACAGCAACCACTTACCATCAGTAGACTGTGTGTACCATTATTCTATAAAAAAAAATACATTGATTCTCACGACTGTCACTGAAAAGACAGAGACTACTAATTTCCAATAGGCTTAACATTTAGCATGACGAGTATGTGTAGATTTTATCGAAGAGACAGGGGTCTGTCACCTTTAGTTGTTATTGAGAAATCAAATTCTGCTAGAGCACAAACAGTGTACGCAGTTTCATGCTCAAAAAGCAGTAATAAGAGGAAGCAAAGTGACATAAAATATAGTTTTTTAAATTCCATTTTATATACAAAGCTATTGTTTATCAAATAAAATGCGATTAGTGGACATTAACAACAATTTTGACAAAAGTGCTTTTCTAAAAAATTGACTCGAATCGAGGAAAGAATTAAAAAATCCAAGCGAAGAATCGAAGTGAAAACGAAACGAGAATATAAAACAGGCAAAATAAATGTTCCGGCCATAAGCTGAATGATCAAATTTCAATAAAAGATCGCCGAAGAGGGTGAGCTGACAATGAAACGGTGTTATTTAATTAAAGGGACCGGCGCGCTCCACGGCAATTCAATCCGGATCTTGTTCAATGAGTGACTCGTTGCCTAAATGCAATAAACAATTTAAAACTGTAGCTAGGAACTTAAGCGTGGCTAAATTTTAAACGTGCTTAATACACGAAAACCGCAAAATCTCTAATCATTAAAAGTAAAATGCACTTACTTCGACTCTACTAATTTCACTCTTTTTTGTATGCTACGCAATATCTTCGCATATTGTGAATTTATTTTGACGATTCTATTTTAAAATAGCCGATACCTTAAGGGAAGTCCTATTTAAATTTAAGAAAAAAATTGACCCTCTAGTCATGAAGTAGGAGATGAAATTTTAGTGTTACTAATTAGTGTTACTGTTTAGTTGTTACCTCGAGGTAAACTACTAAAGAGTAAGAACTAAATTTGCTAAGACTTGGAAAACTTCAAGAGCTCTTAAATTGTGTAAAATTATTTATACTCTTAGCTTTATAAGTAAGTTTTAATTTTCTTTAATTTTTTTACTTTTGCATAATTTTATACCTATTAAACAAATTTTTGAAAATGCAATTTTTAAATTATATTCTAATGTCTTTTTATCCAATTGAGACATTAGTTTGTGACTGAAGCTATATACTTCGTAACTTTTGTTCTGTGTTCATTTTTTATATAATATATTAAAGTTGATATAAAATGGATGACAATTAAAAATGATATTATTTTATAAAACTGAAGGAAGAAACGAACTTACGGTCCACCTGATGATAATTCGCTATTGCAATCCATAGATACAAAGCATTCAAATTCAAAAAAAGAAGGTTGTTATTAGCTCTGACGACTACGATGGAATGTCTATCAGCCTGTTATTATACTGGTTCACCTTATATTTCAGGCCGTAGCATATATAACATAGTATGTTATACTTGTATTATAGAAATTATATGCAAATCAAGATAATGATATCATATACTCGTAACATAATGTTAGATGGCCAGGCAGACGTTATTCTGCCCTTTCCGACGACCCGTCCTATGAAAAAATCCTTAAAGTCACAATAAAAAAATATTGAGGGTCACTTAACGGGATAATCTTATCTCTCAAGTTGCACCAAACTGCACAGAGTGTGCAAAATTTCATTGAAATCAGTTCAATAGTTTAGGAGTTCATCGCGGACAAACAATGTGACACGTAATTTTTATATATAAAGACTAGCTGGCCAGGCAGACGTTGTTCTGCCATTTACGACGACCCTTCATATAAAAAGTCCTTAAATTCGTAATAAAAAAAATTATTGAGCGTCACTTATCAGGATAAAAACTATCCTACCCTCAAGTTGGACCAAACTGCACAGAGTGTGCAAAATTTCATTGAAATCAGTTCAGTAGTTTAGGAGTTCATTGCGGACAAACAACGTGACACGTAATTTTTATGTATAAAGATTATGTTCTTTTTAAGTTTTATTTACCGTCATAATATATTGTTATATTATATTAAAATTCAATAAAAGAAGAGTTTATGTGGTAGAGCCTAGATACAGCTATATTATGGTTGTGGCACGAATGGGTCGGCTCGAACGGGGAAGGACCACACTCTTACAGAATACTACCGTAATTAGACAGCTTAATGCTGCTGTGTTTCGTGTGATGAGTTTAGAGAACTGGAGACACTTTTTACTTGAAAAAAGCATTCCATCTTTGTACTCAGGGGTGACAAGTGACAACACATCTGCGTTTTGAATTTAAATCATAGATAGATGTGGATGTCTATGGGTCACAGTATCCATTTACTATCAGGTTGACAGTGTGCTAGTTTGCTACCCTTAATCTATAAAGAAAATATAACAATTGAAATGTTTTCATCATCACCATAATAATAAGCACAGCACCAAATAAATGTAAAAAAGCAACCATATTTGAAATGGATGAAAAACAATTTTGCGAAAGAAGCGAATACGCCGCCGTCAAAATTTAATTAATCATAGTTAGCATTCGAGTAGATTAGACATAACGAGCGGATACGTAACGACGTATTTGATGAAATTATTGAACATTTTGTGGCTGTGCTAATGAATATGGAGCACCTCAAAGACGAGTTAGGACATTGATTGAATATTCTCCAAGAAACTTCAACGACTACAATAACCTCACACCTGAGGGACTTGTTACATTATACATTTATATGAATTCTACAACTGCAAAGGGACCCGTTTAATTAGTTTCGGGACTCATATCGATAAAGTGGGGCAGAATTTCCATTTGGTTACTTAAAGTTTAACCAGGAATTTTGTTACTTTAAAAGTTAGTTATTTTTTTAATTAAATATCACGAAATGAGATCTAAATTTAAATTTAACATCGACTGTTTTTTTCCTATTGTATACATATATGTGTAATGTGACGACCTGGTAAGACAAGCAGGTAGTCGATGGTTGCAGGTGGCTCAGGACCGTATTTCGTGGCATTCCTTGGGGGAGGTCTATGTTCAGCAGTGGCCTTGTGAAGGGCTGTAATGATGTTGATGAGTGAAGGAAAATACTTGAGGAAACTTGCATGAATAAGAAAAAATATTTCGAAACATTGGGTATTTCCTTTGCCTAAAACTATCTTAAAATGAGAGCAGAACTGTATACAGCAATGAGACGTAAATACTTTTTTACTTTTTATTCGATTGGACAGCTATTAAAAAAAATTAAAGTGATGAAAAACCTGATGTTAAGTGAATGCTGTGGCCCATAGACATCTACATCTATCCTCAAATTAAAATGCAGCTACGATGTCACCCCTGAGGACTAAGATGGGATACCTTGTTTCCAGTAAAAATGGTCTCAGGTTCTCTGCACTAGGCATACGCTGGCATTCTTGGTTGGTTGGTTCTTTGGTTCTTTCTTGGTTCTTCCCCGGTCGAATCGATTCATTCGTGCCGCAGTCATAATATAGCTGCAACATGGCTCAACACGAATAGAACACACAGTGTTAATAAAATGTTATAATAGTTAAAAAACTTACCAACTACAGTGAGATTGTATCTGAAGCTAGTAGTCTGCGTGTTGCGGAAGTCAATTCGGCAGCGGTAGACGCCCTCATCGCGACGCTTGACGTCACGCACCAACAGCGAGGCTGGCGGCGGTGACGTGGAAAAGTGTGCACGCGGCCCAAATACTTCTGGCGCTGACCAGTGCCTCGCTTCCGAGAGATGCTTCCCCCTCACGTCGAAGCTTAAACAAGAAGAAATAATGATTTTCGACATTGTCAATTCATGTGTATTAATCTCAAATATATAAAACACAAAACTCTATGTCACCCCTAATACCTGAGGAGTTGAATTTTCTTAGTGGTGTTACGTGAGAAAGAAGTTTATATTCCAATTTTGATGTCAATCTGGCGTATAGTTTTAGATATCTCGTGATATATGTTTTATTTAATACAGGTGACAAGACGAGCGCTTATTCCAACTGATGGTAAGTAGATGACAGCATATATATGATGACAGAATAGATGTATCTGTCTATGGGTCACAGGGCCCATATACATATACATCCAGTTCTTTACTTATTATAAGCTAGTGCTGGACAACCTGGTCGTAAGTGGTGACGTAGCGTTAGATGGTAAATCGCACTGCGTTAGCGTAACAAAAGCCTATTCAATCTTGCCTTGAAGACGTCCAGATTGTATTTGGGCGGAAAGATAGCAAACCGTTTGGTTCTAATGCGTGGAATATCGACAACAAAGGGATGAAGACTTCGGTTAGGAATCAAAATGCAGATGTGTTCTTTCATCTCGGAGGACTAAGATGGAATGCCTCTAATCTAATAATATGGTTATCTACACTCTCCACATGAAACACATATTTAACGCTGGTATTCTGTAAGAGTTTGGCCATTCTTCGGTCAAGCCAACCCATTCGTGCTACAATCATTATATAGCTGCAGCATGGCTCTACCACTTAAAAAGCATTTAGTATTAGTAATTGTGACGGCTCCGTGGCGCAGTTGCGTAGCAATTAGTTGTAGCTTTGGGAGCCATTGGTTCGAATCCCGCACGGAGCGAGTATTTGTTTTTTTTTTTATAGAAGAGGGGGCAAACGAGCATGCGGCTCACCTGATGGTAAGTGACTACCGCCGCCCATGAACAACCGCAACACCAGGGGAATTGCAGATGCGTTGCCGGCCTTTAAGAAAGGTGTAAGCTCTTTTCTTGAAGGTTCCTAAGTCGTATCGGTCCGGAAAATTCGCTGGTGGTAATTGATTCCACAAGGAAGTTGTGCGAGGGAGAAAACTTCTTCTAAATCGAACAGTGGTGGACCGCCAATCATCCAAGTGGTATGGATGGTAACGCGAGTTTTGTCACGATGTGCGATGGTGAAATTGAGCGGCTGGGATTAGTCCGAACAATTCCTCAGAGCACTCCCCGTGATAGATGCGATAAAATACGCAAAGAGATGCAACATCTCTACGTAGTGCCAGTGTATCGAGCCGATCAGAAAGAACTCGGTCGTCGACGATTCGAACCGCTCTGCGCTGGATGCGGTCAAGTGCAAGGAGCTGGCACTGGGACGCCCCAGCCCAGAGATGAGAACAGTATTCCATGTGGGGCCGAACTTGCGCTTTGTAAAGTTGCAAACGATGTGCCGGCATGAAGTACTGTCTCGCTCTGCTGAGCACGCCAAGCTTTTTAGAGGCCAATTTGGCCTTCCCTTGCAAGTGACCACGAGTCTGCCCACTATTCGATATGTCGACGCCAAGGATTCCGATACTAGCTGAGGCAGCAAGGGGAGTGCCTTGAAACTGAGGAGATACGACAAAGGGGTTCTTTTTAGCGGTAAACGCGCAAACATGTGTCTTCTGGGGATTAAACTGGACTAGATTTAGTCGGCCCAAATCCGAGACTTTGTTAAGCAAAGACTCGACTTCAGACACAAGTTTGTCCCGGTACTCAGCGACGTTTTCCCGAGAAATATTGGCACGGCCGGTATATAAGGCATCACCAGTGCTGTCGTCCGCATAGCAATGAATGCTACCAATTTGCAACATATCATTGATATGCAGGAGAAACAGCGTTGGTGATAGCACGCAGCCTTGTGGAACACCAGCGTTGATAGGCAAGAAATCAGAGCATGCACCGTCTACTACGACCTTGATGCTCCGATCAACAAGAAAACTGGTGATCCATTTGCACAATTTCTCGGGAAGCCCATAGGAAGGAAGCTTCGAAAGAAGCGCTTTATGCCAGACCCGATCGAAGGCCTTCGCTATGTCCAAACTAACGGCCAATGCCTCCCCCTTGGACTCTACTGCCTCCGCCCATCTATGATTCAGATAGACTAGAAGATCACCAGCTGATCGACCTCGACGAAAACCGTACTGACGGTCACTAATCAGCTGGTGATCTTCAAGGTACCTCATGATCTGGCAGTTTATAATGGATTCCATTATTTTGGAGAACAAGGAGGTGATGGCAATAGGCCTGTAGTTGGACGGGTCTGAGCGGTCGCCTTTTTTAGGGATCGGGTGGACCAAAGCTGTCTTCCATGAATTCGGGACTACGCCTTAGGAGTAGGAGTACCGGAAAAGACGCATTAAAACTGGTGCCAACTCTGGAGCACACGTATTCAGCACAATGGGAGGGACTCCATCGTGCCCACTCGACTTGCTGACGTCCAGGGAGAAGAGTGCTTTGCGAACCGAGCGCTGTGTAAACCGCACATCCGGCATGGAGCACTCACATCGCGAAATGGTCGGCGGTGTGTTCCCCCCGTCATCTAGAGTCGAATTGAACGCAAAAAGAGAGCTCAACAGATCGGCTTTCTCCTTTGCGGCATGGGCCAGTGAGTTGACCTTTCTGTGCAGAGATGGAAGAGATGGCTGACAGAAGTTCCCTTGGACAGCCTTGGCGAGAGACCAGAATGCACGGATTCCCGAAGGAAGGCGAACTAGCTTCTCGCCAATTCTGCCGATGTGCTCAGACCTTGCCTTGGCAATGACGCTTTTGAAGGACCTGAAGGCGGAGTTATATTTCTTTTTAAGTGCGCTGGTGTTTACATCCCGAGACGTTGATGCGTCAGCCCAGGCCCGGTAGCACTCCTGCTTATAGCGTGATGCTATTTTACAGAAGCGACCAAACCATGGCTGTGATCTGCCACCGATGGGCACCACAGAGAATGGAATAAAAAGTTTCATACCCTGAAGTACCACATCAGTAACAGAATCGGCAACAACGCTGGGATCTTCCGGCGAGAAGCAAACCCGCCCCCAAGGGTAGGATGCAAAAAAAGACTGCATCCCGTCCCAATCAGCTGACCTGTAGTGCCAAACACGGCGGCAAGCTGCAGATCGCAACTGCGATTGGAGCGTGAGTGGCACCGTACTCCGGATTAGACAATGGTCCGAAGAGCCCAGAAGGGCATCGACGGAAACCTGATATCCGTCCGGATTAGAGGTCAGCAGAAGGTCCAACAGGGAAAGTACATGGTCTTCCACATCTGGGATCCGCGTAGGCGAAGTAACCAGTTGTGTTAGACCATATGCCAAAGCAAAGTCATAGACAGATCTACCCGCATGACCGGTTAAACGAGAACCAAGCCATTCAGCGTGGTGGGCGTTAAAATCACCAAGTATCACGATCTCTGCGGATGGGACCTGTTGTAGCACGGAGTCTGCAGTCATTTGGACGTGGTCGATGAGTCGGTCTGTGTCGTCATTACCGCTATGGGACCTATAGAAGCACCCGTAGACGCGAGGATGGTCGTCGCTGTCTACGCGCAGCCATAGGATGGACAGGTCCGTACCTTCAAGGCTGCCGAGGCGTCGATAACAGATGTCCTCTCTGACGTTAACACAAACCCCAGCCCGGGGCACAAAGGAGTGTTCCAATTTGTACCCCGGGTAGGAGAGATATGAAATATCAGCCGGAGAGGATACCTGAGTCTCGGTTAAAAAGAGCAAGGCCGGCTTCGCTGTCTCTAGATGGTAATGGACAGCGTTAAGGTTGGAATGAAGTCCCCTGATGTTGCAAAAATTCACGGATAGCGTGAAAGAGGTCGCCTTAGTTGTATTGCTCCGCTTGCCCCGAGCAGCATTAGTTGCGAGCGGAATTTTGCCCCCCCCCCCCCCCCCAGAATACGCGGGGCAGCCTGAGCACCCACGCTCAGGCTGCCCCGGAGTGAAGTAGTTTGGTCGTGGATGCTCAGCGAGGGATTCTCCAGGGGTGCTGGTACCCTCCTGGGGTAGTCTTTTATTTAATTCCACTACCATTTTGATGGGGGGGGGGGATTGGGCCTCCGGCCACCTGCACTCACCAAGCGCAACGCAGAGGTAAACCTCTACTTCACGCTGGTATTCTGTGAGGTCGTGGTACCACCCCGGTTCGAGCTGGCCCATCCGTGCGACAGCAAAAACTACCGCTTAGCTCTACCACTGTTAAAGTTTGGCCTACAAAATAATTTTTTCGGGTCTGGATTCTAGTCCTTGTGAAATTTATGTTTGTAAACGGCCTCCACTATACAGGAGATAATCCAAGTGTAAGTGTAAAGAAAAAAGGTATGATTTTTTTTATAGGATAAGGTGACAAACGAGCACACAGTCCACCTGGTGGTAAGTGGTTGCTGTGGCCCATAGACATCTACATCTATCCTCGTTTGCGAATCAAAATGCAGAAGCGTTGTCACGCGTGACGACTAAGATGGAATGCCTCTTTTCCAGTGAAAAGGGTCTCCGGTTCTCTACACTCACCATACGAAACACAGCAGTATTAAGCTGCTACTTTACGCTGGTATTCTGTGAGAGCGTGGTCCTCCCCCGGTTGAATCAACCCATTCGTGCTACAACTATACCACTAATATAGGTGCAACATGGCTCTACAATGATTACGCAATGAGTGTCATGTTCTTTTTTTATTCACTTATCAAAAGGTTACTTGGCTCCAACCATTGCCTACGATATTTGCCATAGTTGCCACGCTTGGCGGGCGGGTTGGTAACCGCAGTTTTTTTAATTATTTTGAATTGTTATCGGGACGATGCTACTGCTCGTCTCCTGTCTCCTTTATTTCCTTTTGTCGCTTCTAACAACATCCACGGGATAATCCATAGCATTGCTATGGTAATGAACTCTCTTACGCAATTTCTAATTTTAATTGTACAGAGTCCCTCAGAGAAAAATTAAAGAAATAAACATATTGAGGTTAATATCGCAATATATTCATGAGAATGTATATTATG